ACAAAAAGGAAAGAAAAAAAAAAAAAAAAAAAGAAAGAAACAGCATTCTTCCTGGGGGAGAGCATAAGTCCCTCCCTGGGCCACTGTGAGGAGGTCCAGTGCTCTGCGGCTTTGTAAGACTACTGCTGCCAGGGAGTCAAAGTGATCTAGGAGATTATCTAGTTGATCTGTTTGGTTTTTTTTTAGGCTTTTGGCTAGCTCCTGCTCATGAGTCATTGTTTGGATGGTCGTGCAGAGGAGCCAGGAGAATTGTTGTAGAAGTATAGGTCCTACGGATAGCAGAAGGAAAATTATTACAAAGGGAATTAGGATGGGTAGCAAAATGGGTAATAGCCATGAACCAGCCCTTAGACCATTTAATTGGCGTAGTTTTTAGGTTTGTAGACTTTTCAAGAATATTTTGGATATGTTTTTGTTTTTGTTTTGACTTTGTCAGACTGGTTAATGTAGAAACAACAGCTTTCTTTACGACATAAGCATGTGTCGCCTTCTGTAGCAGTAAGTAGGTCTGAGGCCCTCCTATTCTATAGGACCACTTTGGCTAGTGAATTTGATTTTGAATGGTGGTAAGAGTGGAGGTCATCTCAGCCCTAGAGTCAGAGAGGACTTTTGATAGTTGTTGGAAATGGGTTGGGGTAGTGTTAACATCAGCTATACCTGTCCCTAGAGCTGGGGAAATTCCTAGGGTAGCCAGTAAGGGAATGAGGAGTGGAGCAGCCTGATTATGCTGGGTCATAGAAGAGAGAATTTTCGCAGGAAGGGGAACCTGAATAGTTTGATTGTTTGGCAGTAAGGTAATAGTGGGGAGCTGGAACACTAAGGTGCAGCTGCCAGATCAGTTAGAGGGAAGGCAGAAGTAGGATGAGATGCCACAAAGGAAGCAGACACCCTGGGTAGTAAGACAGAAGCTGTAGGTGAAAGTGGCTAGTCATGAGACTCGTTTATTTTTTAGGTACCATAGGGAGTAGGATCTGGAGAGGGTGATGCCAGTTAGGGAATGTTAGGGAATGTTGGTGGAGGAAGAGATAATAGGCATGTAGGAGTGAAAGAGAGTGGAAGGGTTTAGGGAAGAGCATAGTGGAAAACTGTAGATGTAGGCTCATGTTAGATCTTGTCCAAGTAGTTAGGTTAGTAGGGTATGTTGAAGTTCATTGAGTTTGGGTAGAAAGACAGATCTAGCAATTAGTTTACAGGGAAGAATGTGACTGGATTAGAAGTTGTTGTGTAAGGTTTATGAAAAGGATCTAGCTATTGATTTGACGGCTGGACTGAGGAGTGGAAATATTTGTGGCGAGGATGAGTAGAAGAAGGAGTGGCCCAAATATTATGGAGTATATTTGGCAAATAGGAGGATGTAGGTAACAAAAAGTAAACCATTGTAGCTGATCTAAATCGAAGTTGTTGAAATTTTTCTGGAGGTATAATGCAGTTACAGCCACCCAAAGTCCATCTACTGAGGTGAGAGGGTGTTGATGAGGGCACCAAGAGAGGTTGAGGTATAGGATATGAAGGAAGGTTTTTAGATCTTTTAGCATAGAATTGATGGGAAGTAAGGAGTGTCTGGAGTAATAATCAGATTTGTAATCAGATTTAAATGATATGTCAGTTACAGCAATACAGGGCATAGTAAGGTGGGCAGCAGGATGGAAGTAGGAAGAGAGTCAGAAGGCCCAGCAGTGAGAAGAGGCCAAGGATTGAGGCAGCTGTGCCGTTACTCATCTGTAGTAGCCTGTTTCTCTGGTATTCAAGAGAGCCAGACAGTAGTTGGGCCGGTGTTGATTATTCTGTAAGAGAAGGGGGTGACAGACTTTGGGAGGATGAGTTTCTTTTAATAGACCGGCCTGGAGTGGTTGTTGAATAACTGGCTTAAGTGTCTGGAGTCCCTCTTTACTGACTGGATATTGGGCTTGGTGAGGGAATGTGGAAAGGTTTTTACCTTGTATCTGTAGTGGGGAGCGGGGGGGCGGTGTTTAGTGATAGAAAGAGTAGGGGGTAGGGTGTTAGAGGGGAGAGGTGAGTCTGGGTGGCATAAGAGTAGAAGAGGTTCAGGTGGGTTTGGAGTAAAGTATATGGATGGCTGGAACTTGGTGAGGATGTCCCTTTGCAAAATAGAAGTAGGGCAACGTGGAATGACTATAAACTGATGTATGAAAAGTACTTTTAAAGGAATACATGGTAGAGGGGAGGTGACCTTTCATTCGAATGGAATTTCTCCCACTCCCTACAACAGAAATGGAGGAATCAAAAATTGGCTTGAGGGCCGGCCCGTGGCTCACTCAGGAGAGTGTGGTGCTGATAGCACCAAGGCCACGGGTTCGGATCCCTATATGGGGATGGCCGGTTTGCTCACTTGGGAGAGCGTGGTGCTGACAGCACCAAGTCAAGGGTTAGGATCCCCTTACTGGTCATCTTTAAAAAAAAAATTGGCCTGAATATTCTGGAAGTACCAAGTGTGTGGTCTCCGTA